TGACAAAAGCCAAGGAAGGTTTATTTTGACTCAGTTCTAGGGAGATAGTTCATCATGGAGGGGAGGGCATGGTGGCAGGAGCAGGAAGCCACTGGTCACACTGCATCTGCGCTCAGGAAGCAGAGTGAACAGGAACTGAGTGGGCTACAAAGCCTCGAGGCCCAGCTCTTAAAGGTCCTACCACCTTCCCAAACAATGTGACTAGCTGAGGACCAAGTGTCCAAGCATGGGTGCCAGTGGGGGACCTCTGACATTCAAACCACAGCCGCACCCGCACTTTTCCTTCCTTCTTTCTCTCTGACTAAGCTGTTAGCTCTCAGATCTCAGCACAGATAAAGAATCAAACGAACTGTGACAGGCAGAATTGCTTCAGCTTCACAATCCTCTTCGGAACGGCACACACTAGCTCTGGTGCGTGGCTGTGCTCTAATATCTAGTGAGTGTTTATAACACTATTGTGCTGGTACGGAGAACACAGGGATCCCGAGGGACAATGGGAGGGAAAATAGCTTCTGCTTCAGGCTGTTCTGCCCTACCATGGCCTGGCTTCTCACAGGGAAAGCATTTCCTGAGTGTCATAACTTGACAAGAATTCTGTGTTCATCATTTCTGCTTTTTGTAAAATTTACTTGTCATCCATATGCCCTTGGATATAAATTGACATGTTCATTATGAGTAAATTCAGCAGCATAATGTCTGAATATACACACATACATGCACACAGACTGATTCACTAATTTTCCCCTTCCTCCTGGGAGACCCGCCCTCACTCAGGGTCTCTCGGTCCTCATGCGGATTGACAAAACAACGTAAGACATTCCACTTGGATTTTGCATAGTTTATATGACATCTGGGAAAGGGCGTGATTTACAAAGACATGGGTGCTCATAGGCTTATATTTGGAATGCCTGCCACCAGCTTGTCCCACCCCATGGTCTCCATCAGTTTTTCATGCGCCACCTAGGAGCCCCTGAGATGGGTACAGTGTCGGCATATGCTGTCTCGCCCTGCCATTCACGGAGCTCTATTCCAAAGATGGCGACTACCCCATTCACGGCTGTGCTCGAAAGTCCACACCCAAACACAAATCCTGTGGCCTCACAGCCACACAAAATGGAGAGAGTGCTGCCTCATGGTTTTCCTAGCGCATATATCTATATCCCCTCCCTTTAATGGGCTTGACTCCTTCTGCAGAGTGTGGAAAGGAGGTGGGACCATGGCTTGTCGTCATAGGGTCAGAGGAACTTCCAGATCACACAGGAACATACATACACACATACACTTATACACGTGAATGCACACATATACACATACACATGTAGACACATGCATGCACATATATACACATACACACATGTATGCACACACATATACACATGAACACACATACACAGACTTTGTAAACACAAATACGTACATACATCACATACATAACATGCATACACAGACACATGCAAACACACATACTACAAACACATACATGCATGCATACATACACACTTGAGTACATATATACACACATACACATGTAGACACATACACACAAGCACACCCAGATATATGCAAACATACACACATACCACAAACATACATATATATGCATACGCAGACACATGCAGACACATACACACACATACACGCATGGACTTTTCAGCTTCTGAGCCAAGCAGTTGCATCTGCTGCTGAGGGGAGCATCGCTTCTCAAGACCAACAATAAGCTTCAAGAATTTCCTTTTATTTCCTGGGGAGTTCCACTGCTGCATGCAGATCAAGCTGCCCTGAGCCTTCCGCGTCATGCTGTGTTCAAGGAAATGAGATGCCCTTTGTTACTCCTGGCTGTTGTGTTTCACTTCCTAATTGCTGTCCACATCCTTGCCTTCTGCAGTATCTGTTAGCAAAGCCCAGATGGCTGAAATATAATCAATAAAGATCACTCGAAACTTCCATTTCACATGCAAGTTTTTACTCAGAAGTGTACGACTACAAATCTGGCACAGTCGACCCACAGCCCAGATCTACCGTGTTGGAACAGTGCCACACAGGGTTCACCCCACAGTGGGGCAGTGGGTACTCTGAAAAGGAGGAGGAGGGGCAGCTGCTTTTGTGCAGATGTCCATTCGATGATAAAATTGTCAGCAGGAACACATTGTGAATCCGCTCAATTAAACAGCCATTTACTGAACACAGTCACCGGGTTAAACAGCAGCATGAAATGAAGACTATAACATAGCCGTTGTCTCTCGGTGGCCAGTACAAGCACAGGCCAGGAGGCCTGTAAGGTAAAGCTAGCCTCAAAGCCACCACAGAGGACAACATCTAAATGCTGGGGAGGACTTGGAGAAGGAATTTCAAACCTTATCCATTATTGACGTGAGTGTAAATTAGTAAAACTACTTTAGGTAGCATATGATACCTTGTTTGAACATACAGCAGACGTTACAGCTTAGCAATTCTGTTCCAAGTTATTTACTAAGATGAACAACATCGACAAAAAGTCTGGTAGAAGAATGTTCACGGCAGCTTCATGGGTCAAAGAGTCCTGCCTGGGAGAATGACTAAGTGGTGGGATGGATAAGCTCTGCCATCAAGGCAAAGGGACATGCTATGGAAACACCTAGTTAAATGAATCCCCTTGAAAATACTTTGTTGAGTGAACAAAGCCTTACACAGACGAATCTTGCCAGACTATTCTATTTCAGTGAAGATCAGAAGAGCTAAATACCCAGGAAGTAGTCACCAGAAGAGTCTCTCTGGGATTGGGTAGGACTGAGCAGATGTGCTCATGAAGGAGACGTATGGGGCAGTAAGGACAGAGTTGGGGTTATACAGATACAGCACTCTGTGACATCCTAGGACATAGACATGTGAGATTTGGGGTTTAATTGTAGATACATGTTATCTCAAAATAATGTGTGATGGTTAATATTGATAATGAAATTGGTAAGGTCTGTAAACACCCAAGAGGCAAGCCTGTGGGTCTGCCTGTAAGGGATTATCTAGATGAGCCTGATTGAAGTGGGAAGACCCACCCTACCTATGGGTGGCACCTTCCCATGGGATGAGGTCCTGGGCTGTGTAGAAAGGAGAAAGCAAGCTGAGCACCAGGACTCCCTGACTGCACATGCGGTGTGACCAGCTGCCTCCCACTCCTGCCACCATGCCTTCTCCCCATGATGGACTGCGCCCTCAAACGGAGCCAGAAGAAACCCTTTCTTCCCTAAGTGGCTTTCCTTGGATATTTGATCACAGCCAACAAGAAAGTAATTAATACATAGTGCAAACAAATATTGACCACTGGTGATGAAATATATGCAAAAAGTTTTAGGGGAAAGAAGTTCATACTGAAAAGCATAAAAATAAGGTGACCTTATCTAAGGATTCTGTGTGGGTAGCTTGAAAATACTTTGTTGAGTGAACAAAGCCTTACACAGACGAATCTTGCCAGACTATTCTATTTCAGTGAAGATCAGAAGAGCTAAATACCCAGGAAGTAGTCACCAGAAGAGTCTCTCTGGGATTGGGTAGGACTGAGCAGATGTGCTCATGAAGGAGACGTATGGGGCAGTAAGGACAGAGTTGGGGTTATACAGATACAGCACTCTGTGACATCCTAGGACATAGACATGTGAGATTTGGGGTTTAATTGTAGATACATGTTATCTCAAAATAATGTGTGATGGTTAATATTGATAATGAAATTGGTAAGGTCTGTAAACACCCAAGAGGCAAGCCTGTGGGTCTGCCTGTAAGGGATTATCTAGATGAGCCTGATTGAAGTGGGAAGACCCACCCTACCTATGGGTGGCACCTTCCCATGGGATGAGGTCCTGGGCTGTGTAGAAAGGAGAAAGCAAGCTGAGCACCAGGACTCCCTCTGCTTCCTGACTGCACATGCGGTGTGACCAGCTGCCTCCCACTCCTGCCACCATGCCTTCTCCCCATGATGGACTGCGCCCTCAAACGGAGCCAGAAGAAACCCTTTCTTCCCTAAGTGGCTTTCCTTGGATATTTGATCACAGCCAACAAGAAAGTAATTAATACATAGTGCAAACAAATATTGACCACTGGTGATGAAATATATGCAAAAAGTTTTAGGGGAAAGAAGTTCATACTGAAAAGCATAAAAATAAGGTGACCTTATCTAAGGATTCTGTGTGGGTAGAAATGTGAGAGAAATACATTGGATGTTAATGGAAGAACGCAGGGGATTTCACTGAAAAATTATTCTAGATGCACTGTATGTTTGAAACTTTTTATAATAAAATGTTCACATAAATAGAATGGAACGGAAATAATCCTATTTTTGCACCTACGTTGTTACAGCTCCAGGGGAACTGTACCATCACTACTGTTCCCTCCTTCAGTCTTTTCCTCTGTTGCTTTTATTTCCCTCAATTTATAAGTGTACTTAGTTTTCCCCCAACCGAAAAACGTCACCCTTCCAGCCAGTGATCTCTTCAAACTACATTTTGTTCTCTCATAGCCACTATTTTGTCACAGTGAGAGAATCTGAATTGCCTTCCTGCCAATTCCCCCTTCTCCAGCAGTTTGCAGTGTGTTCTTATTAATCAAAGCTGCTCTCTGTGGTTCCCCAGACCCACGTCATTGCAGGATCCAGGGTTCCTGTCTCAGCTCTGCTGCGTTTGAGGTGACAGCAACAGGCTGAGGCAGCTGGTTTGGCTCAGAACGTCATTACAGCTACAGAATGGCATCATGCCCCGTACTCTGCATCCTGTGGCAGATGAACCAATAGCCGAAGTCTGTGGAAACCCCACTGTAACATCTCCTAGGACCAGTCTTCCTTTTTCTCTACACCTGACCGG